CTTGAAATATAGTTGTCGAATATGACATTGTTTCTCAAAAGTTTGATATTTACAGTTGCTGACGAACAAACTAGCTCTAATAAACTCGAAAAATCCTATAGAACTCTGTATAACTCTATTAAGTTCTATAAAATGTACATTTCTATGAACCCCATAAAGCCCCTAAGGGTTAGGGTAAAACACTGTGAAGCTGTAAAACTCAATTTTACGGTGTTTTATAGACTTGTACAATGTTTTACTGTGTTTTATCGAATTTTGAAAAGTTTTATAAAGTTTAGCAAATTTTACTTGAAATTATAATGTTTTTTAAAATTTTGTTACCGGAATTATATCTTATTTTTAGATATCAGAATTTTTAGCGTTCTTATGTAAGTCTCTTAACATGCAACTTTGTCAATGGCTGATCGTCCTTTCGTAATATATCTACTGTTAGCATTAAGTCATTTCCTCAAACGATTTGGTAACGCATGGCCCATTATATTTTAATAGTTTTTTTTTATGTTTTTTAATTAGTAAGGGCACAATCATCATCATCGATATCGCAATCAATGGAATCAAATTAATAATTTTTCAAAATTTATAAAGTATCTTAATTTATTTTATGATACTATCCTGTTCATTTCTTAATTTCTGTTTGATTCTGTTTTATAGAATTAATTTTTGTTTGATGTCGGCTAATATTTGGTAAAATTTATTTTTTAGGAATCATTTGAAAACAATTTTTTACAATAGTCAAAATAATTTGTTTACAGGTGTTGAAGCTGAAAATTTGCACTACGTATTTTAACTTTCACATCAAGTCATACATTTTTACGATTTATTTGAATTAACAACAATTTATATTTTATAGTCACAAGAAATCGTTCGTTACCTTATGGAAGTTAATGTATTGTTTAAGTATTTTTTTTACTGTTTGTTAATGTGATTATTTCAAGTTTTTATAAATAGTTTATTATTAAAGCAATTATAAATTATTTTCATGTTTTAGTTTATATTTGTGTTCATATTCATCTTATATGTTCACGCTCATCTTCAAATGAAAAGATGACGAT